AGGTATATCCTTATCAAGTAGAAAATTAGAAATATTTTCTTAGGAAACTATTACCAGGTATAGTGAGTTGAATAATAACCCCAAAAGATATGTCCAAGTGCTAATTCCCAGTACTCATGAGTGTCCTGGGAGTTAGATTTAATGTATGAAAATATTTACATCTTTATAGGTATATAAAATAAATGATATTGATCATCCTGAATTCATAAGTAGGCCCTAAAACTAATGATGAATGTTCTTGTAAGAAAAGAAGAAATAGACACACATAGAAAGCAAGATCCTGGAAAGATGGAGGCAGAGTCTATAGTATGAATCCTCAAGCTGAGGAATGCCTGGGTTTTGGGCTACTATCAGAAGCAAGGTGAGAGGTAGCTAACAGATTCTCCTTCTGAGCCCTGGGAAACTAGCCCTGCCAACACCTTGATTTTGGACTTCTGGCTTTCGGAACTATGAGAGAATAAATTTCTGTTGTTTTAAGTCACCAGCTTGGTGGCAGTCTGTTGTAGCAGCCCTTGCAGATTTAGCATGTCAACCCAAGGGGAGAGAAATCCTAAGACGTTAATGTATAATTAAATGGGACAGCCAGAGGATTCTATGGTGGGGCCCACTAAATAAGCTTTGCTCATAAGTGAAGATCTTCTACCCAGCTCCTTATTTACTTGGTTTTAAATAGACAATTTTAAACATTGGTTTAAATAGCCAAGACTTACCACATGTTTGAGGAAATCCTATACTGTGACTAATAGGAACATAAATACAAAAAACCTGGAGGAAACATTGAAGAAGGAAACTTTACAAAACTGTCATTAATGTCATCAGAATAATAAAATTTGCAGCCATAAACCAAGAGCAAGAAACTATGAGAAAAGAAGATTTGGGGGGAGAAAAAAGAAATTGAAAGTATGAAGTCCAGACAGGTAATAGGTCAAAAGAAGGCTTACCAGATAAATTTGAGAAAGTAGAACAAGCAAAATTGAAATAGAAAATGGGGGACATAGGATGAAATAGAAGGGCGAGATTAGCAAATAATATAAAAATTGATAGCAACAAAAATCAGAATCTCTAGATTGGCAGGACCAAACAGTGAATGTGAAAAGATCCACTCTGAGGTAAATCATAGTGAAATTTCATAATGTTGAAAGTAAAGGAAAACTAGGTGATTTCATAAACAGAAAGCAAAGCAAAGCTAATAAAGTGAACAAACAAAGCAGGTCCTGTGGAAAGAATTAGAATCAGAAATGGCATCGGGACTTCTCAAAAGCAACTCTGGAAGCCAAAAACCACAGAGCAATGATTCCAACCTAGAATTTTTGTCTTGCTAAATTGTAAAGAAAAAAGTGTTTGGATTAAAAAGCACAAAGTACACACAAAACTAACGCAACAAATTAAAAAAAAATTACTTCCTAAGTGTTCTTTTGCAAGAGTGACAGATAAAATCAGGATGAAAGATGAATAAAGTTCTAGATTGCAACCATCCTGGAAGACAGGGAATCTTTATAAGGAGCAAAAATGGAATTCACAGGTTGTCTGTTGCTTTTGGTTGTGTGGAAAAAAAGTACTGAGAGACCATAGAACTATTAGAAAAAACTTATGGTAGGTACATTAAAAATTAACCAAATGAATAAGAATTGCATTAATTAACAAATTAAAAAGATTGTGTAAGGAAGGAAATAAATCCTATTGCACAATAGACTCAGCAGTGTTCCACATTTGTATAGTTGGAATAATTTAAACACCAGATCATTTAATAGCTTTATGATGTATATCCTGGGAGGATGCACAGGAGAAAACTTTGCTGATCCAGTGCTTTGTATTGTCAGAGGAGGAACTTACACAACATCAACACAACAAGAAGTCAGTGCATTAAGTTTTAAAGCTTATGAAACAGAAAATAGTATAAGTACAGTAAACACAGTAATTAGGAATTATAGACCCATTTCACAAGAAATATCAAGAAATGCTGGCTTTGTTGTCTTTGGGCAGTGACTCTGGGTCTAGGAGGGGGAATTCTGCTTTCAGTTATAAGCATCTTAATTTTGATGTAGTTGTGAATGTTACTTTGATAAAAAAAGAAAGTTTAGCAATGTTAAATACTTTGCAAATTGTATTTTGACTTTGTGTTTGATGTCATGAGGAATGTAATTATTTTTCTGGCTTTGTTTTGAAATTTGTACTCAACTAGAAAAGTCTTGATTAGAAAACTAACAGGAAGTTTATGGATGTCAGTGTTAGAATGTAGATATTTTATATTTTATCTGTGACTTGGTTTCTGGAACTAGTTGATCTCATGTATAATGTGTAGGGTGAGGATCAGTGAGTCTTTTTCCTTCTGGATAAGATTAAAGAACTTTAATAAACAGGTAAAAGAGAATGGAGTCTAATCTTGAATAATGAAGGAAGATAAACTGTAATATCTCATTTGAACATTGCAAAATTTTCAAAAGGTTCAGGAGTTTCAGCTATACTAAAAAAAGCCAGTCAGTTTTGAAAGAGGTTGAATTTTTCAGTAGAAATACAGAAAAGCAAGTAGAACAGGTATAATATAAAAGGAAATGCTTTGGATTCAAAGTCAAGAAGTCAAATTAAAACCTTGGTTCTTCCTCTTACACTGCTGTGACTTTGGTGGCAGTATTCAGCCTTTCTTAGCATCAGTTTTCCTATGCATAACACAGGGACAAAATATTAAGTTTAGAAAACTATTGGAAGGACCATTTAATATTACATGTGCAAAAGCTTTTTACTCCACATTGACATATAAAGTATTAAAACAATTCAATGTTTACCTATAATTTTTCTTTTTTCTTTTGGCAGTAGTGGGGTTTGAACTCAGAGCCTTGCTCTTGCTAGATAGGTGCTCTACCACTTGAGCCACTCCACCAGCACTAAGTTCTTTTAACACCAATTGCTTGGTATAGAAGGAACAATCTCCAGTGTTAAAATTGGCAAGTGTCTCAGATATGAAATAGCAAACAAAACTTTCAAACAAATCCTGTAGGAATTAGGGCTTCAGGTTGAGGACTGGTTTCTGTCTATGTCAAATAGAAAATAAAATAAGGTAACAAAGTGAAGAGCATGAACTTCTGCTGAACCTTCATTCTTACAGTAAACTTAAACAAGGTCTAAAAGATTCAAGTAGGTAAAATGTAGAATTTGAATATTGTGATGAGAACAGAAGATGGGGGATAGATGGGAGCCCATTTTCTCTTACATTTCAACTTTCATTATAATTGGATTTGCTGTATTTCACTACAAGACAGTCTTTAATACTTGCAATTTGGTAGAAAGTGGGTTATTTCTTTCCCATTAATTCTTATCCAGTGTCTGGGAATTGTGAGCTTTGTGGAATACTTTGTAGTATTTTCACTAATCCAATGAATATTTTTTCAAACATGATGTTTTTTTTTGTTATCAAATTTTGCTGTGTGTCTTGAACTAGTATCAAGTTCTCTGCTCACTTGCACTTATCACTATCCCAGCATGATGGTTTGTTTTGTTGTTTGTCCCTTTAACTCTCATGGGCTCCTGGTTGTCTTCCTGAGTCCAGTTCATGGCCACTGTGGCTCTGAACAAACAGCCTTACCCCCTGAATGACTGCAAAGTGAAGTCAGTCTTCCATGGCACACAAACTTCTCAATGTGGTTCTTTTCACTTTGTGAGAAATTATTTATCTCCTAGACTGCATGTGCTGAATCTCTCCAGCATACAACAGACAAGTTAATGAGCTGCTGACAGCCTGGCTGGGTCAGTAGAGTTCCTTGAAAATACTGTAGCTTCATTTATTTATGGCATTTTCAGGTGATGTCTGGTAATATGGCAAAGATGACAAATTTTACTCAAAGGTTGCATCAGGTATTGTACAACTAGTTTGGAGAACAAAGCATTTGTGCTTTTTCAAACCAGCAAAAACCAAGCCATAGACCAACTTTTTCCCCCTGCAAAAAGTTGAAATGCTGTGAAGTCGACCATTTAGGAAAAAATTAGATTTCACTAAAACATAAGCATTGGACCTAAGAGACAATGGAGTCTTTGAGGAATATATTTGAAATATGAAATGCCTCACAAGGTTAACTTCCTCTATCATTATTCATTAGTATTTTTTAATGTCAGTGTTATATCATGGGACCCAATGGATTTTTAATCAAAATATCAGTTCTTGTTGTTTTTTTTTTTCTCTGTGCTGGGGACCAGTCCCAGGGACTTACACATTCTAGCCAAGTGCTTTACCATTAAGTGCTTCACTCCAGACCTCCAAATATCACTTCTTTCTGCTGGCTATTTAAAGAAATTATTCCCAAAGTGTTTATTTTCTCCAGTGATGCACACTGCTCATGCAGCATCTCTGGACTGGCTCAATAATAAGAGCACACACTGCCTTTTTGGTGCTATACGATGTCCCCCTTCATTTACTACTCACCCCTGCCCTGTCTGGTGACCAGGGAGAAGGTAAGTGACCTCTGTAAAGTCACACTGTTAATAATGTGAACTAGTTGATTTGAACATAAGCAGTCGAGTTTCACAGTTCTTTATTATTCTAGCTGCTGAGGCTGGATTTTTATTTTTGTGTTTATTTTTTTTTGCTAACCTTTGTGTTCCTAAGTTACCATCTGCTGACTGCTCAGTAGAAGGTTTTATAAACATCCACGAACACAGGTGGCTTACCTAAAAACGTTCTGTTATGGTAGAGAATGGTTACCTTTCCACATATGATTAGCAAACTTCAGTATTTGTTCAAGAAACATTTATTTTGCAGATAGTTCATTGATTATTGATTCTATTTTATTGCTTCATAGAGAGCATTTGTGTAATAATTGAAGGACTGTGTTCACCTGAAAGATGAGTGGCAGATTCTCTACAGATTATAAAAGAGCTAACATTAGTAACCTCAAACACTGCTCATTTAGGCTCTTTGCACAGTATCAAGAAAGCTGTGAAAAATCAGTACATGTGTTTGTAGTGTAGAGGAATGTACTTCATGAAATTGCATCTTCTGTTTTGCTTAGATGAATAATGTGACAACAGACTATTGTATTGACATCATAAAGAAGTTTGAAGTTTCAGAAGAAAATAAGGTGAAAAATGTCCTTGGCATAGAAGGTAAAATAACCAGTAGTCTTAGTTTCTTTTTTTTTTTCTTTTATTCATATGTGCATACAATGTTTGGGTCATTTCTCCCCCCTTACTCCCACTCCAGTCTTAATTTCTTGATTCAGTCTGCTAAGTTAAATTCCAGAAAAAAATTTTAGGGAGAGAATTCAGGAGATACTCATGGAATTTGAGATGATTCTAATAAAGCCACAAAGTGCATGTGTTCCTACAGAGAAGATGCCCTGAGGTTGGTTTTTATTTCACTGTGTAATGGATGCCAAGACATATTTGGACTTTTCTCAAATGGCTGGTTTTTGGAAATAGTATCATCCTGATGATTTCAGGAAGGAAATTTTGTTCCTAAATAAGTAAACTGTTAAACTGGTGACCTGAAAATAGACATTTTTTGGTTTTCTTGTTTTGCAGAATGTTATCAACTGACTTGTTTTTCCTATGCAGTAGGTAGCATTATAGAAGCTGTTGGGGTCACGAATATTGTTACTACAAGTACCTTATTTTATAGTTGAGGGAAGTGAGGTTCAAGGACTGAAAATGTTTACCCATGGTTACACGCTCAGAATGTGACTCCTAGGATGTTACATATAAGTGGTACGGTGTAAAACCAGAAACATGGATGCGTACGTTCTGTGCATTTAAAATACACTGGAAAGTAAATTGCAGGTAACAAGCCAAGAGGAGGGTCTCCCAAGCAGAACAGATAATATTAATTAAAGACCATGGGACCCAACTGCCACCAAGAGCAGCCAGAGCCACAGTTGATTTTACCATGTGTGATGGTTGGTCTCCTGCTTTCCCTTGCTCCCAGTAGCAGTGTGGACAAAGCGGATTAATTTTTTAATGTATTTACTTATTTTTAAGAGGCATGGCCTCTCTGGTTGCCCAGGCTGGCCCTGAACTCCTGGATTAAAGTAATCAGGAGCCCACCATTCCTGGCTTGATAAAGAAGGTTTGATCCCATGTGTTTATTTCCTGTGATTGAGGGTAGTTAAAATGAAGGGGAATAATTTAAAGTCTTATGTCATTAATACTATTTTATACTTGGGCTTTTTCTGTATGAAGAAATAAATATTTTCCATGGTGGGCCCCTAAAAGAAAGAATTAGATATAGGTCTCTAAGTTATAGACATAAAGATGGGCATGAAGAAATTCTTAATTAAGTCTTAGAGGATATTTACAGATCAGATTTTACCAAATGATTCTCAAAGAAGACTTGAAAAAATTGACCCTAATAAAGATTCTGCTTAGGTACTTGTGAATCATTCATGTATTTATTCACATATTAACGAGTGCCTTTTTGAAAGACTAAAAACTAGATAGACATTTCTACATAATCTTTAAGCACAGTATCATAGTTATTTATGTGCTAGTCATTAATGGAATTTTCCCAAATCAATTTCATAGTCAAATAATCAGACCCTGAATTTAGGCAGTGTTTACCCTTTGATGTGCTATTTTATGACATCGACTGTACCGTTTTTCAGATTAGCTCAATAACCCATCAATGGCCAGTTGATCGAGGTACCACTTGGTCTGAATGAGACTCTGATGTGGCCTTGGTTCCCCATTATGTAACACTGCCTAAGCGTAGCTTGAGCTTAGTCATTACTAAATGGTTTTGCAGTGAGCTTCCCTTCCATCCCTTCAAAATTCTTGTTTTTTTTTTTGTCTTTTCTTTGTTGGTGCTGGGATCGAACCCAGGGCCTCACGCATGCTAGGCAAGCCGCTGTACCACCGAGCTACATCTCAGCCCCTCTTCAAAATTCTTAAAAAGTCAGTTTATGTTTCTATAGACAATGTTTAAATGGCTGTTCCCCAAAGTCTGAGTTCAATTTTTGATACTCCATTTGATATCAAGCAAATCTTTCATTGCCCCAGTTTTCCCTACAAAAGCTGTCACAATAATTGCTGTGAATCTTCTTTGGCCTCTTTTGTCTTGATTAGCGTTAATGAAGTAGACACACTTTGAAAAGCTGTAGTACGTTACTCTATCTTCCACAGGCTTCACGAGCTTCATGCGCAGTCCTGCTTGTGACGTGTTTAATCCCTTGCACCATGAGGTGCACCAAGACATGGATCAGCCTCTGTGTAACTACTACATCGCTTCCTCTCACAACACGTACCTGACTGGGGACCAGCTCCTTTCCCAGTCCAAAGTGGATATGTACGCGCGGGTGCTACAAGAGGGCTGTCGCTGTGTGGAAGGTACGTGTGCTTCCCTGAGCGCTGGTGTGTCTTGGTGAATGTACCCTTTAGTCAGCCCATCAAAGTCTACTATTAAAGTAACTGAGACCTAAAAAATGTTCTCACAGTAAGTAGAGCTAGTTGTCTGTTCATGATAGTCATTTAAAAAAAAAAAAAAAAAGAGTGTTATCTCACTATATAGCCCATACTGGCCTTGAACTCAGTCTCCTGAGTGCTGGGATTAAAGGCAGAACCATCATGAGGGTCTTAAAATCATTTTTAACTCACAATCCTGTCTGGCTCTTCCTTATTTTCCAATCAGAAGGAAGAGACAGATGTGCCACGAGTTGGGAAACATCTTTAGTTGCTGAAAAATTGTGATGAAAATTATAGTCTTCCAAGAAAGATTATTTTTAGCTAAACAATGGTAAAAATAGTTCAGGAGAGCTATTTATTTTCAAGACACTTCGTGCTTTCCCATCAGCCAACATTTATTATACTATATTTTTTTTAAACTATACTAATGGGTTCTGGGTGGTGAGGACACAGATGTAAGTAAGACATGGTTTCTGGCTTGCAAGAGCTGACAGTATACTAGGAAGAATGCATATTTGAAACAAAAATAGTGTGATGTGAAAATTCCATTGTTTCAGCCACACGCATGGCATAGGCTTGGTGATGTGGAGACTTGCGTGTGAAGTAAACTGTGATTGGAAATCAGGCAGGTGGGGGGTCAGTCATAAAGGGTTCTAACTACAGGGGTAAAGAATTTCTACTTCAAGGTTTGGTAATGAGGGGCCAGTGAAGGATTTTATTTTTTCTGTACCAGGGTCTGAACTCAGAGTGTCATTCTTGCCAGGCAAGTGCTTTAGCACTTGAGCAATGCTGTCCTTTGGTCTTTTTTTTTTAGTTTGTATTTCAGATATGATCTTAAGGTTTTTTTTGCCATGGACTGGCCTTGGACTGTAATCTTCCTGCCTCTACTTCCCAAGTAGCTGGGATTTCAGGTGTGCACTATCATGCCTAGCTGGTGAAGGATTTTACTTCCTACAGTGATACTATCAAATTTGAAGTTTAGAAAATCTGGGCAACAGTGTGGGAGGATTTTTGTTTGTTTTGTGTTTTGCAATGTGTTTATAGAGGGAATGCAGAGGCAAGACTAGAATTAAGGCAGTAATAGAAAGGCCATCTCAGTGATTCAAAGGAAAGATTATAGCATCCTGGACTAAGTCAGTATAAAGTGGGTAGAGTGGTTGGGGGCTCAAGAGAAATCATTAGGATATTAACTAGGTAAACCTAATGCGACCCAGTGAGAGAAGCCAAGGACGAAAGGAGTGAAAGGGGGAGGTGGGGTGGATGGTGGTGCCACTTCGTGCTGTAGGGAATCTGAGAGGAAGAACATGAATGAGTACAGTTGTTCATGTATTGACTTCGTAATATTTAAGCACACATCAGTCATTTAGATAACAATATATAAACTTAACAGAAGGCTCCAGGCAAGATAAAGCTTCCATAATTCTGAGCTGCCGATGTGGAATTTAAAATCACAAGAGTATACGTAATCATTTGCAGAGAGGCATGGAAAAGAGAAAGAGGCTAGAAGACCTTAGTGATCTAACATCGAGGAGGCGGGAAGAGCAGGGGAGGTAGCAAGGCCAACTGACTGAAAGTTGTCCCAAGGGCTTAGACTTAACAGCTGGGATGACCAGAACATCCCTTAACAGAAAAGGATGGCCAGAAATATTTGATGGAACAGAAAAGTAAAACCAAGTCAAGTCAAGTAGCCAATCTAGTTGCATTTGACAGCTGGGACGTTATTGATGAGCTGTGCTCTGTGGACTCAGTGGTGTATTAGGGGGACCTGCAGTGGGCTGGTGACTGGGAATTTCTTGGCATGAGAAGACTTGAGACTTTAGGTTGAGAGGGGGAGGATACAGAGGGTTTTTTTAAATTTTTTTTTTAGTTGAGATAATGGGTAAGATATTTGGAAAGGGTTCATGCGTAATAACCCCTGTTTTCTCAGGGAAGTAGGAGAGAGCATTATTATAAAGGGGGGAAGAGTTGGGCTAGGGGGCTTAAGATCAGCCAACTGAGAAAACATCATCAGGGAATGGGAAAGGTGTTGACAAGACAAGGTAGAATACAAAGTTAGTGATACAAAATCTGCATGCCTCTATTGCTTTCAACCACATCCCAACAGAATCCAATCTGCTTAGATGTAGAGACATTGAAGAGAGATTATAGAATTGATTCAAGGCTCTGGATTTCTGGGTTGCACAAAGTGCCCTCAAGGTGCTGGCGAGGGCTCTTTTAAGTAATTGACAGGGAGTCCAGGATCTAGGGAAGGAAATGAAGTGAATAAGGGTCACCAAATGATACCAAGGGACTAGATGTTTCAACAAAATAGAAGAATGCAGGAAGTTGTAATTATACCTACCAAAAAAAAAAAAAACAAACCAACCATAGTTGTCGTCACAGTGAGACATAGTTGCAGGTGGTGGCAGTAGCTAGTGTCTCATGGGTGAGCACGATCAAAGTAGGGTGAAATACGGGATTGCTGGCATTGAGGTGGTCATGGCTAAGTAGACTTTTTACTTCCCAAAGGACACTGACAGGTTGGAGATAAAAACTGTGAGTCAGATGCTTAGATTCAGAAGCTTGCTATAGAAGAGGAAAATGCCAGCATGGTAGAGTTGGGTAATGTGGTCTTCAGAAAAGGAGGGATTTTTCTTCGTAAGTGTAGAAGATTGGTTGTTTAGCGGTAACAGTAAAGGTCTGGAGAACGCCTTTGGCTCTGTGATTTATACAAAGAACATCTGCGAAGAAAGGAAGCCGTGTCCTCCAGGGTAGGCCGGTGGTTACCAAGATAAGGAGGTAAGAGAATTCTAAACAGTCTGATGGTCAGGGAGTTTGTGATGGGATGGAGCTGCCAAGAGCACAAGCAAATTGATTTTTCCAAGAAGTGTTCTGGGAGTCAGCAACAGGAAAACGGTGTCCTAGAGGCTGCCGGACAGTGTAGGGAAATGAATAAAGCATTCAAGTAATGTGACCGGCTCACTGGATGGGCCTTTCTTCGTCAGAGAGTACTGGCTTGAAGACCCTTCTACTAGGAAAATGACAGTAATGTTATTAAGGTAAACCAACGTGTTGTGAAGGTTGTGGAGATGTTAAAAACCGTCCGCACACAGTAACATTAGTGCTGTGACGAAATTAGTATTCTGGAGGATTCATATTTTATGACAGTATTTTTGCAATAGCCATAGAGAATATCTATTGAAAACAGTGACTAACAATTGAGTAGCTTCTGTAACTGAATAATGAAGATGCTTGCAAAAATATAAGGAAAAACCTTTGAAGCTACAAAAAGTCTTGAGGTGACATTTTGTTCTCAGCCATGATTCAGCCCTTGTTCACTCAGCACTCACTAAGTCTTGCATGTTTGGCATGCACAGGGATGTCCAGGACACACAGTCTTACTGTGTCACGCTAATGCTGCTCATCATTTTAAATGGTGATATTTCTTAGAGGCCAAGTATAGAAAATGACCTTCAGTTGATTCCATGAAGTGAGAGTCAACTCTAGACAACTTTACCACTTTCTTACTTCTGCTGCCTCTGCTGTTTATTTGGCCTTTCAGGACCTTCAGATACCTACTTTTCTCTTTTTTTGATTTACCTGTCCAAAAATCAATGTCCTGCTGTAGCATAACCATGTTCCTATGCTGAACTTCTTATGTTGAATCAAAACTTAACATCCTTCAGCTCTGATCTGGGTGTTAAGAAGGAACGTTATCTGAATAAGACCATTTGCAATGAAGAGCAAATGATTTTTAGTTTCAGCCTTTTGAGTTGTCTTAAAATTCTAAAATAGAAGCTTTAAAAAATTGTATGTGATTGATGACATGGCACATGGGCCTTCTCTTGTGCCCTCTTCTTGTCTGTCAGTCACCAAAGTAAGTGAAATAATCTACTTGGCTTTCTGTGTCTAGAAGGTTCCCTATGCCAGATATTTACAGATATGTGCACAGCCAGGCTGCAGTTTTAAGGGCATGTCACCCCTACATGCTCCCAAATATCTCTCACACCAGTGTATACCAGCAAGTTCCTCCCCTAGTATTTGGCTTGAAGTTCTTCCTATTAGAATAATCTGTACCTGGCAGTGAAAGTCATACTACTGTTTCTGGAAAGTTTTTGTTAAGGAGAAAAATTGTATTTATCTGGTCAGCATTGTCCCTGATCTATTTCCTATAGAAAATTGTGCTTGACACCTTAGATTTGAATATACCATAGGAAGGAAAAGGGGAGATGCTGTGATTTCAGTCCCTTTTGTGGGCCAGGCGCTGACTAAATGCTTTCCATATTTTCTTCATTTAATTCCTGCAACATCAACAAGGCATACAGAGTAATCTCCTCTTAAGAGGAAACTTCAACAGAGACTTAGGAAAATTGCTCAACTTCCTGTAGCTAGGAAGCTTAGAAACTTCCCCAACCCCGCTGTTCTCCAGGAAGTCTGTGTACTTTTTGGAGGCGTAGGAGACATTGAGGTAAATTGAATGAGGACTCTGTGGTCATGGAAGGGTGGCTAGGAAGAGTGGTACATGGCACAGAGAGGAGTTGGCTTTGAAAGGAGGAACTTGCTTTGTTCATGATTAAGCTGAATATCTGAATATGTAGATGTTCCCGAAGGCTTAAAATTTGGTGATGTGATCTTTTGTGGTCTCCTAATGATTTCTATCAGCCCTGTAGGTCTTCATTTTGGAGCTTGACATGGAGACACCAACGTGTGTGTGTGTGTGTGTGTGTGTGTGTGTGTGTGTTTGTATATATATATATCGGCAGCACTTTACCTTTGGTCTAAGTGAAGTTGGTTTTATTCTTACACAGCTGTAGCTAATATTTAATCTGATTTATAGAATATAGCAGATTATAGATTGAAAATTTCAGATCCCACAGATATTTTTCTGAAGCAGCTTTTGCCAAGAACAGTACTTGGAGGGAAGTGGGCTGGTGAAATGCTCAGTGGTGAGTGGCCTGCCTAGCAAGCATGAAGTCCTGAGTTTAAACCTCAGTACTGCCAAAAAAAAATAAATAAAAAAGGACTCAAAAATGGAGAGGAGTGATTTTGGCAGTTTCTTCATGGTATGGTAACCTGGAGAATCTCTCTTCTCTCTGAAGCTCCTCTTGTTATGTCTTCCATCTCCTTCGGTTCAAATGCAGTACAGCTCTCAGTCAGGATGTATTGGTTCATTGTGGCTGGGTGGGCGTGATAACATTCTTCACGTGGCTTTCATTCACTTGCCTTTCAGCCTAAGTTACTTAATAAATATAGATGATCTGTCCAGGGGATTTTCACTCTTATTAAGGAACTAATTTTTCATTGCTATTGTAATTGGTTTACAACTTTGCCTATTATTACTGGTAGTGGTACAAGGGTGGAACATGTTTAAGTTCCACTATGAAAAACTGTTGGGTTAGCTGTTTGGCCTTCAGAATGACCAGCTCTTTGTCAGAGTGTTTCTTGGGACCTATACTGTGTAACCTAATTGAAAAGTGGTCCCTGGCTATTTTGTGGTTAGGAGAGTTGGCTTGGAGGGTTTCTACCTGGCTAATATTCCCATTACAAAATTAGCCCTTGTAGGAACCATCACTGTCACTTGAACCTGGCCATGAATGCTACGTATTAAGATGCTAGTGCTGTTTGGGAGTGTTGTTATTCTTATTTAAGACCAGTGATGATATCATACATAAAATGTTCGAAGAAGCTATCATTATCAATGGTAGATACTCTGTCTGTGTTATACATATTAGCCAAAGAGCACACTCTTTCACAACCAATGTAGGTTTAAGAGCAATTTTTATGTGGACACAATAAACAAATCAGGCTTTGCAGTGATTTTTAGATTTTGCACTATTTTGGGGAGAGATATTAGCATATTTATGAGGAACCCTGTTACACCCTTTCTCTGCTGAGATTGGATTGTAAATCGGTAAAAGTTGTGGAAATTATACACAGTCATAATTAGGTTAGGTGATTTTGTCAGCCATCATATAGTGTACATATACCATCCTGGGTGATACAGATCAATCATGCAGCATGGCCTCCTGGTGCAACCAAGAGATGCAGTCAACATGAGATGTGTAAGGCAGCTGTCCATGTAACCCTGCAAACTTTACAGTAATCCTTTCTATTTTTAATAAGTAGAAAGAGTACACTATAAAATAATGATAAAAAGTATAGCATAGTAAATACATACACAATATTAGCCAGTATCATAGTTGTTTGTTGTCATTATCAACTAAGACAAAAGAAAGTGGTTTTACTGCTATACTTTCACAGTGTGCAGTGCAGAAGCGTTGTTCACACCAGCATCACCACCAACACCCGATGTGTCGTGCTGAGACTACACTGTGATGACTACACTGTGCAGTAGGTGATAGAAATTTTTCACCTCTATTATAATGTTGTGGAGCCACTATTTAACCACATCCACTGTGTAACATGTAACTGTATTTTTGAAACATCTGTTCATTCTTTTCCATGCCTATATCCAGAGAAAACGAAAGAATCTCAAATACATAGGAAAAAGGTAAATGAACCTTCTCTTTTTTACGTTATTTGATGGCTCAAAAGAACAGTGTGACAGTGTAAGATAGGAATTTGGTCTTCTTAAACTCCGTTTCCAGTATTCCTGGAAATTGACCTTGGAATTCTTTCTTCTTTTAATTTCTTTCTCCTAGAGATGTTTGAATGGCCAAGGTTTAAGGTAGATAACTATATTCGTTAAAGTTCTTCAGAGAAATAGAACTAATAAGGTATATAGCGAAAGAGAGATTGGGGTTGTTTGATTGATGTTAAGGAATTGGCTTACATGATTGTGGGTGTTGGCAAGTCTGAAATCTATAGTGCTGGCTAGCAGGCTGAGACTTAGATTAGAGGTAATCTTGTAGCTGTGGGTATGAATTCAAAATCACAGCAGGCTGGGAACTCATGTGGTCTGTGCAACGATGTTGCAGTCTCAGAGTTTCTCCTTCTGTGGGAAACCTCCATATTTACTCTCAAGGCTCTCAACTGATTGGGTGGGGTCCACCCATATAATGGAAAATACTTTGTTTTACCCAAAGTCTCCTGATTTAAATACTAATCACATTTTAAAAATACCTTCATAGCAGCATCTAGACTAGTATTTGACTAAGAGACTGAACTTCATTGACTAGACCAGTTGGTGCTTAAAATTAACCATCACTATGGTATTATGGTATGGTGAACATTTTGTTTAAGGAGACAGAGATAACATCTTGGGGGAAATGTATAGGGAATGAATGTTCTGTGAAAATAGAGAACAGGCATGGTTGTGAACTGTGTGGTCCTAATTAAAGCCAGAGTTCCAGTGGCATCCCATTGGCCAAATCCAACTGCAGGGTTGTTTGTGTCAGCCCATATTATATTCTGAAAAGGGGGTCATTGGCAATATTTAAAAACTGGGAAAATTCACAGCAAAAAAAATCTAGACTTCTTAATGTTACTCAGAAAATCTGCCCACCAAGGTTCTTACTCCTACTTAACAGTGATTGAGTGAGAAGTCCTTTCTCATTTAGACCCGTTTCCCATTGAGCTGCTGAACTCATCCCTGCTACCTGCGAGGCTCTCGTTGATATCTGAGTTTGTAACTCCTACCATAAGAAAGAAGACTATGATGATGATTGGCAAGGTTCCGGGGGCATTCTGGCTTAGCCTCAGCAAAGTGAAACAGGTCATGTCAGTTGACCTTAAAGGAAAAAAACAAAAGCGTGGAGATGGGATTGATTATACATGGGGAAATTTGCATAACTGGAAGAACATGCCTGTGGGTTTAGGTATAGAAGAAAGTAAGATTGACTTTTCACATAGGAGGTAGGATATTAAGGCAACACTAGAGCCTTTTAACCTCAAATTTTCTCTACCATTAAACAACAGATATTTGATTCTTGTTTATGTAAAGTACCAAATAGGTGTGAATTGTTCAAGCAATGATTTAAGAGTTCACAGCTTTACAACTCATGGCTGTACCATCCTCAGCACATGACTTCTAAAGTCATAGCAGAAGAGGAAATGGAATGGGTGACAATGTAAGACAGGTTTCTACCAATAAGACCTGGAAGTGGTGCATTTCATTTCTGCCCACATTTCATTGGCCACACCCTACTGCAGGGAAAGCCTGGAAATGTAGTCCAGCTCTGTGCCTGCATGAATGAGGAAACAGACTTGGTCAGTGTCCAGCACGTTACTAGCACAAAACATAGGGATATAGAGGCTAAGCAAGTAAGACATGCTGTGCGACATTTATCAATAAATTTAGCATGCATTTACTAACAAACTACTAGATGCTGTGTTATCTCTTAAGTAAACTTGAACAAAAGGGCAATATGGTAAAGGTAGTATTTTAAGAAATTAGTCTAATATCAGTGTAAAACAAAGGAAGGCAAACCTTAATTTCGGGAGGATGGTGAGGAAACTTGACTGCTGGGAATGAATGAGATTGTGTGTATAGCACATAGTATCAATAATAATAATAGTTGTCATGAATCATAACAATTCATAAGAGGCATAAGCAACTTTGTGGATACTTAATCTTCACTCAAACTTATGATGTAAGTGCAGCTATTACTTCTGTTTGATAGATGAGGAAAGCAAGTGCAAGTGATTAAACCATTTGCATGTATTCACATACATTTTGGCAAGACCTGAGGATTAAACTTAGGAAGTTGATGCTATTTTATAACTACTGTGCAATTAGTAAAAATGGAAATAAACCTATTGGAAATATCCTGGGTTGAAATGAACAACCATGAAATGCCCTGTTAAGTGTTCTGAGAGGGACACTGTAACCTGCTAAAAGGCCTTAGAATCCTGAAGAAGCAGACATGAACTCGAATATGGTAGTTAGGAAACATTACATCCTTGGGCATGCATGGTTGGATTTAGATTAACTTCCAACAGAATATTTTGGTTGGAAAAACCTTATGATCATGACATCTTTGTAAACTACACTAACTCAAAAAGACTTATGCATTGTCTTTAATCCTTTATTCTGATAAGTACGCCACAACACCCATTTCTGTGTCTTGACATCTTTATCATGGCTGCAATAAGCATAATTTCCAATAATAAACTTAAAAATGATACATCTGATATTTCCAGAAATATTAATAAGCATGAGAGACTTTGGGTTGTTGATATAAAGTTCTGTTTTTGGCAGTTGACTGTTGGATGGCCCAGATGGAGAGCCAGTAGTACACCATGGATATACCCTTACTTCAAAAATTCTCTTCAGAGATGTTGTGGAGACCATCAACAAGCATGCCTTTGTGAAGAATGAGTAAGTACAGCAACCCTCGGGAGCTGAGCTCTATGCCTTGTCTAGTCCAAAGAGCATGGTCACAGAACCATAGGCCTTCCCTTGCCCTCTGCTTCTCCATTTCTACTGTCTTAGTTCTCTGCTTCCTTCCCAGCAAAATACTGTGAACAAATACTGTGGACTCCATGTTTGTACTGTCTCATGCTCCATTCCCTCCTTATCCCATTCTCTCTCACCCTATCTCCTTGAAGATGTCCTCCAAATTTCTAAACCCAGGGTATAGACTGTCTATAAAGCTGGGATACAGGTTCCTATACATAATAAATAGCTTGGATATTACATTATAATATAATAAAATAGTAATACCTAGGTTCCTAGGCTTGTTGGATGTCCTATGTATGCTGCAATGTCTAACATTCTTGAACTACTTGACTCTTCCTTGGCATCCACAATGTTCAGTATTTTTTCCTTGATACTTGCATATATATTGTCTTCTATTCTCCATTGCTGTCTCCGTTGCCTCTCTCTCTTGCTCTCTTTTTTTTTTTTTTTTTTGCAGTACTGGAGTTTGAACTCAGGACCTTCACCTTGAGCCACTCCACCAGCACTTTTTATGATGAGTTTTTTTGAGATAGGGTCTCTCAAACTATTTTCCTGGGTTTGGCTTTGAACCATGATCCTCCTAATCTCTCCTCCTGAGTAGCTAGGATTACAGGGGTGAGTCAACAGTGCCCAGCTTCTCTTTCTTTTTGGTCTTCTATTTCATCTCCTCACTCCCTTAGGAGTTGCTATTTATCAAGGTGTTGCCCTTGGTCTACTTTTTGGATACATATCAAATTATATCCCCAGAACTTTTTTCCTAACTTCAAGATGTATACAGTAAATATTTATCTGAGTGTCCCCTAACACTCCTGCCATCCTAGGGCTCACATCTCAAGCTGAACTTGGCATCTCATTCTGACAAACCTATGCCCCTTGCTCTTTCCTTTTGGTGTGGGGGACCACTGCCTGCTAGTAATTTCAGGCAAAAATGGAGAGTCATCCCTTCAGTTCTACTTCCTAAATTATCTTTGACTTCATAGACTTCATTTCCACTTTGGTCCATCCTCCACACTGATACCATAGTTGTCCTTCTCAAATATAGGTATGGTTTGTATTCTTGTCTTAAAGTCCTTCAAAACCCCACCCCCTGTTGTACATAGGCGTGTCTGCATGCCCTTCAAGGCATGGCCGCTGCCTTTTCATCCGGCATCTTCTCCTATCACTGCTCCATGGAGACTTAGCATTTGGCCTTCCATGACTCTCTTTCTTTACCCTCAGTGAGCATGCTGCTTTGTACGACTCACATCCTTGCATATGCTGTTCTCTCTGCCTGAAACACCCTTCCCATTATTCTATCTACCTGGTTCTTGCTTATCCTGTTAGATTAGTTAAGCATTGTCCCTCTGGCAAGCATGCTGACATGCAAGCTTTTCTCTGTATTTAGCACCAGGAGTGTAATTCTGTCCTATCATATAGCGCCCTGTTACCACCATGGATGACTTGCTTTCTTTTAAATCTGTAAGACTGTGGAGTCATTGAAAATATGGGATGATGTCTTAATCAGTTTTCATTTATTCTTGTTACCTAGTAGGTACCCACAACATACCAAGCATGCAAGAAAGGATTTTTGAATGAAAGAAGCAAATTACAATTACAATTGCATAAAATGAATATTTTAGAAGTTAGTAACCTTTAAGACTTTTAATATTTGTTCTTATTAATTAATCATGAGGTTAAAATGCTTTTCTACTAAGTGATTCTTGCTGCAAAGCTGATTCAGTTTATGGTGTCTTTTACGTGGAAGAATCTTGAGTACTGAATTCTTATCAGTCTTCAAAACCCAGATTGCTACTAGTCTTAGCCAATTTTGTGAAGTAGTTTTGTCTGTGTTTCCTGATAAGCAAAATAGTGTGCAGAGAAGGCCTGCCACCTGTACATCTTGGAGGACTCTCTGGTGAATTGACTTCAGGTTTGGGAGCCCTTCAAAGAAGTATACTTCATTCATTCATTCATTCATTTTTGTGGCACGGGGGCTTGAACTCTGGGCCTTGTGCTTGCTAGGCAGGTGCCCTACCACTTGAGCCATGCCTCCAGCCCAAGAATGCACTTTCAATGAAAATAATGATTATGCTTGTTTAGTACATTTCAAAAGTTTGGCCTTTTGTCTTCTTTATCTTCTTTTTTCCTTATGCTTGGTAGGCTGGCATTCTGCCACTTGAGCCTTATCTCTATCCCTTTTTGATTGTAGATTTTTTTTTCCAGATAGGGTCTTGTTTTTTGCCTGGGATGGCCTGGGATTGTGATCATTCTACCTATGCCTCCTGAATAGCCTGAATCACAGATGTGCACTACCACATCCAGCTGATTTGTTGTGATGGGGTGAGGGGTTAATAACATCTTGTCTGGGCTGGCCTTGAACCAGTCTCTACCTCCCAAGTAGCAGGGATTGTGCCTCGCCCTGTCTTTTCTTTCTTAAATGTTAGTTGCGTCTTTTCACCATGGTTTCTCCAGCTTGGCCCTATTGAGATTTTGGGCTAGAGAATTTGGTGCTGTAGGGAGCTGTCTTGTGCATAACAGGATGGATACCGGCATTCTTGGCTTCCATTTAAACACCAGTAGTACCCCTCCCCCAAACTGTGACCACCAAAAATGTCTTCATACATTGACAGATGTTCTTTAGTGGGAGAGGACACAAGATAACCCATTCCCTATTGGGAAGCACAGCCTTACGCTAAGCATCATTAGACACTCATAGGCTTCTAAATGCATTGATAATTTAAAATTCTATTGTTAAAACCTCTAATGTGGTTGCAAAGTGTCTTTGTGTTGCTAGTTTGTTGTTATTTTCTACACTCTAGGAAAAAGCTAGATGAGGACCCAAGTAGCAACAGATTGTAGCAAACAGATAACCAAATCGACTTAAGCCACAAAGGGTCGTCTCTAATATCACCTCCAGTGTCAGCTCTTACTGATGACAGGGGAACGTAACTTGGAGAGGTCAGAGACCATATTGCGGAGCTTGAGTTTGGATTTTTTTTTTCCCTCCACATAGATATGTTAAGCAGTTTAAATGCTGGTTTGTATACTCATGAAAAATATATTGCCTATTATATCTGGAGAAGTATGTTGGAAAACTTGAGAAAGTATCAATAAATCTGAATTTGAAATAATTTCTCACTCTGAAGAAAAGAGTGGAGCGAGGAGAAAAATGGTGTAATCAGACCCCATTCCCTTTCTACCTTGGTCACCAACCCCTAAAGTTGTCTGGGATCATCGCTTTTTGTGGGTCTCACAGTTTTTGTACAGAATCCTGAGTGCTGATGTAGAATAAATGCTCAATTTTTTTATTTTAAAGAACTAAAGACTAGTGTATAATCCTACAAAAGTATGTTTGAGATGCCTGACATGATGCTATAAAACACACAAAGTTCCATTATGCTATTTTATCCTCAATAGCAATTTTCAAGCTGGGGACTTTTATATATAAAAAAGTACATCTAATGATATGCATTGTTCTCTTAGATGTATCTAGGCTTTTGAATAAATAAAAAAAAATTACATTACATGATTTTCCCCTCTTAGGCTTCTCATTTATTTAAAATTTTTCTTTTTAAAGATACATGATGTAGCCTGCATTTTTTGCCGATGCAAAATATTAGAGTAAGTCATCCACGTGGATTGGTATTTTGTTTAGTCATCATGCCTTGCAAAGTGTATTTGCTTAGAGGAAATTTTAATGCGTCTCTAATCTTTCTCATTTTAGAAGCATTTTGATCATCACCACCATTGCAAATCCTGTCACTGGGATTATGCGAGTGCAGTGAATACAGAATCATTTTCAGAAGTCCCTGCCAGTTGCCCGCACTGATACCTTTGCAATGTGTTGCTCTTTTCCTAGGTTCCCGGTGATATTGTCTATTGAGAATCACTGCAGTATCCAGCAGCAAAGGAAGATTGCACAGTACCTGAAAGGGACATTCCAGGACAGACTGGACCTGTCGTCTATAGACACAGGAGAATGCAAGCAGCTCCCAAGTCCTCAAAGCTTGAAAGGCAAAATCCTAGTGAAGGTAATTACTCAAAGAAGGCAATCTGGTGCATTAATCATCATCTAAGCCTTTCCTCCCTTACAGATAGAATGCTAGCTTAAAAGGAAACAATAATTAGAATCAATACATAAAGGATTTTCCACATCTGTGTATTCATCTTATTTCAGTTTCTATGATGCCTTCTGAGGAAGGTTATTGTGGGATGACTGCATATTCTGGGATTTGTTTTTATGAAGTGAGAACAGTAAGTTAAATGTGTAATATTTTACTGTCTAAGAATTCACACTGCAGAGAGATGTGGGTATAAGAGCATCTGATTCAGGAGAGGAGAAAGGCTCCCTGAATCCATATCTTAAAGGATTTCATTCAGATTCTTTTCTTCCATTTCAAGCTCCAGTAGCTGTCTGTCAAAAGGAGAAAAAAATGGTCATGGTTGATCAGTGTTGGTTGTGTAAGTGAGAAACACTTGCTTCAAAGAGAACATAGGCACAGACATAATGCCCAAGGACCCCTGTGTATGTGTGAAAGGGGAGGTGGCCGAACAGAACGACATCTTATAAACAGACTTTTCTGAGGGAGAAGCTTGCTGCAATGAATATCATTGATGCAAAGAATATTCAGACTGTCTCTTGACTTTTCAGATTGCTGACTTTGTGATTTTTTTTTTAATTCCAGTGATTTTGTTGTTGTCGTTGTTTAGATCAAACTACCTTTGATTGTTCCTTTTTTTTTTTGGAGATGAAGAACCTAAAAAGAGAGGAGTAGGTGGGTTATATTTTACTTAAAAGGGGTATGGACAAAACACCAAATACACAGGAGGAGCAGGAACATCAAAGAAACAATTTCATGCCAAGACTTTACCTGGGACTGGAAGGGAGAGTAACACACAGAAAAGATACAACGTATTCATCTCTAGAGTTGATTGAAGATTGTTTGTGCATAGTTTCAGAATTCGTCAAGAATGTGTTGTAGGCACTTGGATGTGTGGAAGAATTTGAATAAAAGCTGCAGCCAGTAGCAGCAAGGTCAATTTTCCTGTCTTGTTAAGGCCAACTCCAGTGTTAAAAACCAGTTTCTGGGTAAAAAAATGAATGTTTCTTGAATATTCTGTAGCCAGCAATCATTAAATCATTAAATCATTAAATCATTAAATAGACTAAGGTCACTTGATTGAAATCTTGCCTTCTGGACAGTGGAACTTAAGGTGGATATTTGATGTTAATTGAGTCCCTTTTGCATAACTAGACTTTGTTTTTTGTTTTTGTTTTTGTTTTGGTGGCACTGGGGTTTGAACCTGGGGCCTTATGCTTGCTAGGCAGATGCTGTACCATTTGAGCTCTGCCCCATCCCGTAACTCGACTTTGAATCATTTGGCACGGTATCTCAAGGCTTATGGATGCCAGGATGAGTCAGAGGCAGAAGACTGAGGCAGTCATGTAGAGGGTGGTGGCAGTGTGATCTGAAGACATTTCAAAGGCATCTGAGATCCATTTGCTTGTAGCAATACTCTTCAGATTTTAAGGAGGTTGCTTGATGTGTGGACCAGCACACTTCCATTTAAAGAAAAAAGCAAGGCAACTTCTTTTCTCAACTTCTGTTGACATCAGAGTGATCTCTGATCCAAAAGGCAGCATTTGAATGACTACTTACCACCTTGGAGATTGAGAAGTTGTTTATTATACCTGGTATATACTTTTCAATCATGTATATGTAGATACATTTATATATAAGAGATAAATGATATGGATATACTGAAAAATGAGCAAAATGTTGCTTTTGAGCAAAAATAACAAACTGGGCAATTTTTCCTAGGCTGTTATTGCCAGAAGTAACAGTAGCTCTCTGGACCAGGGTTCCTGCTTTTGAAGACACAAGTCATAAAAGTGTTAGCAGTCTCCTCAGGGCCACAGAACAGAGAGCTTGAAGCTGAAAGGTGGCCATGGCTCCAGTCTCTGATAAGACTTCCATGCTCAGTGGATGAATTAATCCAATTCTATGTTATAACTCCTGCATGAAATACTTTGTATATCAGAAAAGGACTCCCTAAAGACACTTGGGCCATTCTTCATTTACATCTACTCTGAATCATTCATTAAGTCAACACAAGATTCTGCTGAAGCTTATTATTTAATTTTTTTTAGGGCTAACACTGCTGATAAAAACATTAAAAGGATCATCTTTTGCATTGCTTTTCTTCCTATCTGCCTTCAATCTTTTGGGTACCAGGAGTAAGGAAAAGTGAGCCAAAACTAGGGCCCTTATGATGGAGGGTCTTTTAAATAGATTTTAAAAGGAATGAAAGGGTGTTTTATGAATACTCTGAGAAGGCAGCCTTTTCTTTTTATTCCCTCACTCTTTGCCACACCTAAACAGAGGGAAACTGAGGCTGAATGCTGCTGTCCACCTGCTCGTTGGGCCAGTTTCCCTTCTGTTCTGTACCATTTGTATCACATTTGAGGATTATTGGGGACTATCATTCCTTACTTGGTAATGTTATTTCTCATGTTTATTAGCTTTGTTTTACTGAACATTTTTTGATGTATTTTTTTATACAGGGCCTGACTATATAGCCCAGGCTGGCCTGCAACTTGTAGTTCTCCTCTTTCAGTCTCCCAAGTGTGGGGATTATGGGTGTAAATCCATAATGAACTTAAAACATATTGGTTTTGATGCTATTTCGGGGTGGGGGGGCGGGAATTGTGGTCACTACCTTTTAAATATCTTGAGTATAGGTCCATCTTGGTGTCTGCCGTTTGGCCCAAGACAGAGTTGATTCTGAATATATTGTGCTTAAAGCATAGTTAAAAGTGATTATACCTTCATGTCTGTAAATCTCTCAGATCTGTCTGGTCACACTTAATTGAGCACCCTATTTCTTTGTGCTGCCATATTATCATGGAAATCTATGGATCCCCCCTAAGATAGTGAAAGGTGAACTCATTTTCTGGGAGCTTTCTATATCAATGACATTCACAATAATATATAGAAATGAGTGGCTTAATTCTGAGCTGCCTTGGTACCATGCACAAATTAGATCACACCATTTTAGTCTTGTAAATGCCTTTGGGTAAGTTGAAGAAAATATTTGATCCCAAATATTTTAAAATTTAAAATAGACTTTATTTTCATTACATTATTCACTCATCTTGGATATCACTGTGCTAAAGACCCAGGGTCAAGAGGTTTGGGTATCGAGGAAGGTGCAGAAGAACTGAGTTGGAGATTTCTCTCAGAGCCTGACTAAGTGGATAGCCCTGTGCAGGGAGGGATGGGTAAGCAGGCAGTGGCGAATGCTGAAGGTGCTAAGGTGTGGAGGACAGGGGTACTAAAGATTACTGGAGCTTAAGGTTACAGATGAGCCTGCATCATAGCATTGGATGATATTTGTAAAGTTATCATTATGAATGGCTGCCATGCATGTGAATATCCTTCTATTTTAGAGAATTCCCTGTCCTTATGTTTAAGGAATCCCCTTTTAGGAGTTAAAAATGCTAGGGGCTAGGTAAGGCACAACACACTTGTAATCTAGCTTTTCAGGAGGAGTAGGTAGAAGGATCCTGGTTGAGGTCCCTGGGGCAAAAGCGTAAGATCCTATCTGACAAACAGCCAAAACAAAATGGGCTTGGGGGTGTGACTCCCATGGTAGCGAGCCTGCCTAGCAAGTGCAAGGTCCTGAGTTCAAATTCCAAAAGCTGTACTTCTGTTTTTGTAGCCTCTTAAAGGGAGTGGTGGACACCTCCATCTATATACTGTTGATCAAGTGAACCTGCCTTGGCATTGGAGCAGAAATGGTACCAAGCTGAGCCCATTGAGCCGAGAATGGTAGAAGTGATTTCAGAAACTTTGAGCTCCCAAGGGCAGCCTTTCTGGCAATAGTTCCTGATGTATGTTGTGTTGATGGTAAAGGTCAAGGTCATGAGCTCTGTGCCTAGTTGTGTGGAAACTGGATTAGTTGTGCCTAGTGATTTTGATTGGGATTGTATCAGGGTGATTTATGGTGACATAGCATAAATGATCCCCAAATCTAACAGCTTAAAGTAGATAGTGGGTATTGTTCAGCTGATTCCTCTGCCCAAGCCCTCTTATAAGGCTGGAATGAGAGAGACGGGGAGACAGAGAGAGAACAAGAGGGTAGAGGGAGAGAGAGGAGAAAGACATACAGAGAGAGAGAGACAGGAGGAGATATTGGGAGGACTCAAGGATGTCTACAACAATAATAGCCTTGGCCACCTAGCACCCTCCAGAAGATTCTGGGAGCAGTTGAGTGTCCTATGATACTCCTTTCTGCTCTCAGGTAAGAAGCCTACAATGCAGATAGCTACCCTTGAGGCCCTTACCAGGCCCTAGCCTTGCCTTCTGTTGCTTTTTTAAATTTGTTTTTACTTTTTCTACATGTCAATTAGGAAATGTAGAAAAGGAGAAAATAACTATCACCTTACTTAGAGATAATTACTTTTCACAATAGACCATATTTCTTTTCCAGACTCTTCTGTGTAGGGTTTTTTTTTTTTTTTTGGCAGTATTGGGATTTGAACTCCTGGCTTCACACACTTGCTAGGCAGGCACTCTACTGTTTGACCCATGCCTCCGACTCCAGCCTTTTTTGCTCTGGTTAATTTGAAGGTAGGGTCTCACTTTTTGCCTAGGCCAGCTTGGACTGCAGTCCTCCCGTTTTACACCTTTCACCATAGCTGGGATGACACGCCCAGCTTTTTTCCATCGTGATGGAATCTGGCAAACTTTTTGCCTTGGCTGGCCTTGAACTGCAGTCCTCCTGATCTTAGCCTCCCACCCGTTTGGGATGACAGATGTGAACACGCAGGTTTTGGTTAACATGGGGTCTCATGAACTATTTGCTGGGCTGGTCTGGAACTGTAATCCTTCTGATCTCAGTCTCCTAAGTAGCCAAGATTACAGGTGTGAGTGACAGGCACCTGGCTCCTTCTGTGTTTTTGTATATCACTGAGGTCATACTGTCTATATACTTCTGCCTCTTGTATCAGCAGATCCAACCAACTATT